TACGTATCTGCCGTGTCGACCCCCAAGCGTTGACGCCCTGGGCTCACGACACCGCGTCCCGGGACCCAGTTCGGGTCGTCGATAGCAGTCTGCGCGGCGTGCCAGTTGACGGGCGGAAGGCGTCACGGCGACGGACCCGAGCTCCCCGCTGGGCCGGCCTCTTTAAATAGCGTCCGAGCGAACACCCGCTGTCGCCGGGGTCGTAACGTTGACTCTGCTGCGGCAGGGAGACTTTGAGAAGGTGCCGAGGCGCGATGGATGGCTAGGAAACGCGATCGAATGACCGCCAATAAAAGAAAAAAAAACACACACACACACACACCGGAATTTTGAAACGCCAAATCACACGCACACGCGCACATTAACATATTCACGCACACATGCACACGCACATAGGCATAGACATAGACAGAGCAAAGTTTTAACGAAAAAGTGTGAGAGGCTCTTTGAGAGTCGCTCTGGGCGCCCAACCGTATACATAGTGCGACTTGTAAGTCGCTCTTATCTGGGAACAGAGTGGAAAGGAAATCGCGCGTCGGCGGAGCTGCTGACGGATATCCTCGTCATTTCTGCACTCCGCTTTCTTTCTTTCGTTCGATTTCTGTCGCCTGTTCTGCGTCTGGCTAATCTTTATAGCGCTTTCCCCGTTCACCCTTTGCTATGGATGTTCGCGGTCCGGCAGCAGCTTTGCAAGATACGAAAGTGCCTGGCCTTTTAGGGCGCACCATAAAGTATACTCGCAACTCCGAGTCAAACCCCCCACCCCCTGGAAGCCTGAAGTCTCGTCTTTTTCGTGTCGGCGGCCACAAGCACATGTCAAGTCTTTCAATCGGAACGCTTTTCAGATCTTCTAAGTTATCTCCGTGATCTTACAGCCAAGCTTCCAACCAGTGGCGTCACTATAGTCAGTGGCACCCGGGGCGGTAACCCCCCCCCCCCCTTTTTTTTTTTTTCCACTGCCCAGCTGCACCCCACTGAGCCCTGCACTCGGGGCGGTCCGCCCCCCAGTAGTGATGCCACTGCTTCCAACTCCCGCTAGCGTTGCACGCGTTTCCGCTAGACTTGGGTAGACGGTGCGCGGGAAACATCGTGCAGAACTGAGCACGCTCACGTAGGCATCCCAGGGATTCCAGCAAACCGTTGCGTCAGCTGACAGCCGAGGTAGTGGAGCGCCGGTCTGGCGTTACCTGTTTGCTCGCCGCATCCGCATACTCGGCGGCTTGCGGCATTGTCTATAGTGACGCGCTTGAGACGAGGAAGCTCGATCCGCAAACACCGAAGGGCCGCCAAGGCCGTCACGACGCCATGGCTTCGTTGTAGCGTACGTAGCTGCGCTCCTGGCTATGATCGCCGCGCGACTTCGGTGTACGAAGGATCGAGACAGTCGTCTCAAAGCGCTGACGCATCTTTCTATTCATGGGGCGGGTCAGCGACCCCGAGACGCGAGAATTTCAGGTCTCAATCAACTCAGCTCAGCCACGCACGCAAAAGCGGCCTGCTCGTGCTACGACCTAAAACAATTACGCGAGCAAAGCAAGCCTCATGGAAACTGACAGGTCAGGATCAAGGCCAATATGCTTAACGATGGGCACAGACCCCACTGAATCTTTTCATTGTACTGTCACAAACACTGTGAGCAAAGTTGAGTAAACCAATACTTTCGTGCTGGACTTGGCAAATGTGAGCGTTTAACGAGTAAAATGAATGCACTGATTCGTTCACGCTAATAGATGTTCCGCGAATATCTCCATTATTAACTTCATTTAATTTTTGAGGCGGTAATTGCATCCTTTCGAATTCCGACTGCCTGGCCTTCGTCCGTTTTTACCCTGCCTCCAGTACAGCTCCTCGTAGAACTGGGTGCCGGTCCGCTCTCACTTCGAATGCGGTGGCAATCAGTTCATTGAACGACGTTTCATCGACAGATCGTTTCATTGACACGCGATGTTCCGTTGACAAATCGTTTCATCGACAAATCGTTTCATCAACCACTCAAATTAGGATTTTTTTTTTGGTAATAAGCTATATTAGATTGCCCCCGCGAAGCTGTCTGTACGGGTGGGTCAGGTGGGTTAACATTTTGTCATGAGCCGCCGCAGACTGTAGCCGCGAAGCGGCGTAAACGGGGCGGCCGGATGGGTTAGCACGCACCCGTGATACAGGCGCGACGAAATGTCCCTACAGCGTGCAATTTCCGTGACGAGTGTCGATGAAACGTTCGTCTCGACGAAACGTGTGTCCATGAAAAGTTGTCCCCAAAACGTAATTCCGCGAAACGAGTTTCGACCCCTTCGAACCCCTGCGAATTTAGATAGGGACCCCTTCGAATGAGCTGACAGTCGGACAAACGAAGAGGACGAGATAAAGTAACCGATGGATGGAATTTTTCCGCGGATGAAGCCAGTAGTGCTCGGTTGTTATCTACACTACGGACCTTGACAGCAACCTTCAGCCATATACGCCCACAGCCCAAGGCGAGATAACCGTAGGAATGCCCTAGACAACACGGCGCGGTGGGGAGCCAAGAAGTCGTTGCGCGTCTCAGGATCGCGACCTCGCGCCTAAACACCACGTTCCAAACACTGGTCCCCCGCCCTATCGATACCTCGTTTCAACACGCTACTGCAAGACAAAGAGAAGAATCGATAGCAAATTATGTCAACATGCCCTTCGAGTAGCGTGACCGGCACGGCGTTACGTAATCCAATGCAACACCGAACCTTATAGCCACAGTGAAAGGCCACGAGGAATCGGATCGATAAAAGGAGCAGGGGCGCCACCAGTCTGGGAACAAACAAAAAAATCTAAATTTCCAGAAGGGGGGAAATGCGACTGCCAAGTGAGAAATCCCGCGGGCTTCGGTTGATCCACTGCCGCCCAAACATTCGCGACTCGGTTACTCCAAAAGCGGCCTCTTTTCAACTCCCACTTCCGAAGAGGAAGATGTTGACGGCGGGAGGCAACCCGGCTGGCGTTTCCCTGCTCCACTTCCCTATTCCCCGTGGTTGTTCCCTATGGCGAGGAGCCTTTGGTGTTCGAGCATGGAGCACGCCGAATAATTGCGTTCGTCGTCGACGGTTCGCTCCCGTCTCCGGCGTTGGCCTCCACACAGAAGAGCACATCGCGAAGGGCCTTCACCGCACAGCACTGGCAGCGGCGGCCTATCCGACGTCCTCTGCTGCGAGCGCGCGAGACCACCAGCGCTTTTTCCTCGTGACACTCCCAGGGCTCGCCAACAAATCGGGCTGGTCCCGTTCCAAATAACTCACCTGAAACGCTGCTTCGAATCTGCTCGCGGAGGCTCCGAGTTTTCCCGAAATGAAGGCGATGCTGATTCCTGACGAGCCTCTTTTCGTCTCTCTCTTTTTTTTTTCCTTTTTTTTTTTAAAGCTAAAAATGGGTCGACTGTTACGCAAAGCTGCCTCAATGGTATCCGCCTCTCGGTGAGGAGGTGTGCGGAGCTCGAGGGGGGAGGCTTGCGCGCGCCCTCGCTGGATGGCGCTAGGGATTGCGGCGGCGTCTGCGGCGTCGTTTGCGTCGTGCGGAGCCGGCGAGCCGGCCACGTTTAGCAACGGACCTCACCGGCGGCTCTGTTGCTAGCCTCTGCAATTTCTCGAGTTTATATTTGATTCCTCGATGTGTAAGGGCTATTTCGGCGGTCCTTTCCCCCGGGCTTGGTGGGGTTTTTAGTTGATCCGGTTAAAAGTTGTTTAGGAAGCCGGTGAAGACGTATTTATACGTCTCCTGAAACGGGGCTGTCAGAGTTAGCAGCTAGCTTGTGGAAACTGAAAGTTAGGAAAGAAAAAAACAAAAAACTGTGCCATGCATGAAACGTTTCGACGGGTTAGTATCCCTCGCGTGATGCAAGAAGCTGAAATTTTTTTCCCGATGAGAGTACAGAGACCGAACTATGCACATGCATTTTGGCCTTTCCGCACCTCAAGTTATGGACATCCCAGAGACCTCAGCCACCCCCCCCCCCCCCCCCCCCCCCCGAAAAAAAAAAGAGAATAGATTCCTGTCTATACTACTGAGCAGGGCCAATTCGCCTGTCTGCCAAGTACCTGACATCTCCTTTCCCTCATTGATGTATTCTAAATATTATCAGGTGTTTTATGCAAGTATTTATATTCACTTTTTAGAGTGAAGTCGGTTTTTTACAAACAATCCCCCCCCCCCCTCCCCCCACCCCTGCCCCCCTTTCTGTGGTGTCTGTCCTTCCTATGTCCTATGCGCTCTGTGGTGTCTGTCCTTCCTATGTCCCCGTCTTCAAAGCGCAATCATGTTTTCTAACGTACCATACCAGTTTGCCCAACAATCAACACCCCTTTTCCGCCTTTTTTTTTTTTTTTTTTAGTTATGTTGAGTATAGGTATCTCTATCATCTTTCCCACTTGCAGGAATAAACCGACCCGAACATTGTAACCCTGCTAATGACTTTCTCGACTTCGTATAGTTCTCATGTTAAAAATGAAGTGGGTGCATGCTTCGCGAGTCATATCGCAAAGGCCGTATCCGCAAGCGACCCGGGCGGGCCGCCCTGCGACTTGCTGGTATGTGCGATAAGAACAACGATATACTCCACCAAAGAAGTGTTAGCAAAACATCCGAACTTCGCTTCACCTTATGTCAAGACGCAGCCGACGTTACGAGCTGATGGGACCAATCAGACGGCGTCAAAAGCTTATCATCATGTTGTTCGTCATGTCTCTGTGCGTGTTCTTTCATATCTGGACCAGTCATAACCAGAGAAGGCCCAGTGACTTGCGTTTTTGACGCTGCTTGATCGGTACCATTAGCTTCTAGCATCGGCTGCGTACTTAGCGCTAATGTTGACTACACGCGTTTGAATCAAAGGTCCGGGATCCCAAAAAGTCATTTATAAGACCCCCCCCCCCCCCCCCCCCCTTACTTCCCGTACCGATGTCTAAAGAAATGAGGTCACCAGTGTCTATCATTTGTACAATTTAAACTTTATTTTGCTATCTCATTGCGTATCTCATTGTATGTCGCGCGTGACATTAAATACACACACACACAAATTCAAGCTTCTCGTTAAACATCCTGTTACTGCGCTTAATTAAATAGGCTTTCCAGAACCATTCGGTGTTTCTTTGCTCTTGCATGCCTTCAGCGGAACCGTTAATCTTTGGCTTGGTTGAGCTTTGTGACAACGCATCACAAGGGTTCGCAAGAAAGGGCTGAAAATTGTTTTTTGGAAAGAGTGAGAAAAACGGAGCGAGCTACATGGTACACGCTGCATTTACCGACCCTTTCTCTTGTAGAAGGTCGGCAAGTGTCCGTGAAACGGCCTGTACACCTCGACGCCCAAACTCTGCGGCGCGTGTACGTGACCGTAAGCGTCCCAGTGCACATCTTGGCGGAACGGGCTGTGGACGTCGTCAAGCAGCTCGTAGTTCTCGGCACTCGTGCCGAACTGGTGCTTGAGCTTCTTGAGAAGGCTGCAGTTCTTCAGCATCTTGATCTTGCGGAATTTGCGCTGCTTCTTCGACAGTCTTTCGATGACGTACGTCGGTCGGACGACCTCTCGGATGACGTGGACTTGCCTCTCCTGCTGGACGGGCGTCACGTGAACCGCTGCCACCGGCTGAACCACCTCGGCAGCGGGTACCAGCCGTTGGACCACGGGCTCGGGATGAACCGGCGGCGGTGGCGGAGGTGGCGGTGGAGGAGGGGGAGGGGGAGGCGGCGGGGGTGCCACTTGTACCAGCTTGGTGTGGTGGTGTACCACGTAACTGAGCTTGGGCGGTGCCGCGTCCGGTAGTACCGGCACTTCTTGGATTTTGATTGGCGCCGGTGGGTTTGTTATGTTGGGTGGAGTTGGCAGAAGCTGAATGAATTTCGGTTGGAGCGGTACCGCGGGGACCGTTGCGACGGGTGCCGGTCGCGGGAAGTAGTCTGGTACAACAACGAAAGGGTGGACCGGTGGTACGACTACGGGGAGGTTTTGCGGATAATCGGCGACCACCACGTGCCGCTGTGGCGTGGGATGGTTCACGACGCCAGACACAATCACGGACCGGTGCTGGGTCACCACCGGTGGCGGTGGCAGTACAACTTGGGGAGCGGCCAGTACCTTGGTGGGCACGTAGGGAGGGTGGACCACGTAAGTTGGTTGCGGTGGTGCCGGGATCCTGTGAACCACTGGTAACAGGACTTGATGGAAAGATCTGTGAGGTAGCAGTGGTGCTGGGAAAATGCTGTGTTTCTGCGGGAAGGTCGCGTGAATGAGCGGTGCGGGGTGGGCTGGGACGGCGTGGACCGTCGGTCGAAGTTGCCGGAAATACTGGATGTTGTGACAGCTCGCTCTCGCCACCAGCACTGCTGTGATGAAGCCCACAATGACGCCCTGGAGTGAACGCGGGGAGATTGAATTTACAATGTGGGGAGTTTAGATACCTGCAATTATACCTGCAGGCCTTATACTGCATGCTTACCAAGTGAGCGAAGCCCTCACCCGTGGGATACTTGAGGTAAAATTTTCATTTAGGCGATAGATAATGATGTGTGTTTCCGGGTAAAATTCAACAGTTTCGGCGTTTGCCTCTCGATCGTATTTTCTGAAAATGGCGTCTCGCCAACAAAAGGGCTAAGTTTCATTGAGATGCATTCCTCATGCAAGCGTATTATTACGATTTAAGGTAATGAGATAACACTAATATCAGGGATAACTTCATCCATCTCGTACAATTTGCCACGCAAATGCTTGTGCAACAGATTTCTCGCGTTTGGGCGCGCCATAAGGAAGGCCACTATGGGAACATACTAAGAAGTCCTTCCGGGTCCTGGAATCGACCGATTTTCTACTTGAAAACAAAATCCCGCATCTCGCAATTAGACCAGTTCCTCAAATTTCAAATAAAAAAAAAAAAAAAAAAAGAGAGAAAGAAGCTGTAGCGATGCTAACCCTCTAGCCAATAGTACAAGCCGTAAGTACAGGAAGCTAATTTTACGAAACTAATCTGACTTCCCAAGCAGAGTATAGCCCACAAAGAAGTCCATATGCCATATATGACCGGGCGGAACTGTGCATTATACCCCGGGTAACAAGGCCAGACAGCGAACAGGCAACATCCCTCGGTAACAACCTCGTCGGATTACGTTCCTCTAGTTTAACCAGCCCACGAAACGAGTTCCTTGACGTTGTGTAGCTAGACCAGTCAGTCGGATCGGATGAGATAAAATTTGCAGGGGGAATTGCACTTGATCTCCTCGCATCAGGCCCACTCTGTCTCAATCTGGGAAGTTCACGCGCTTCTTGTGGGCGTCGAGAGACCGACAAGTACGTTACCCCGTTGCGTGCACAGCTCGGCGCCTCCATGCGTGACTCAGCAAAACGCTGAGTGCCGCTGGCGGCGGCACAATCACTCGAGCGCTCCAATATCAGTTTGGGTCGTTGGTTTCTAGGGCCCCGAAAGAGTCCCTTCCCTGGCCACGGCCGCTCGATTTTCTCGTTCCCGATCGAGCGACAGTGCCCTGGCAGACTCCGCGTTCATGAGCGCTCGGAAGTTCATCGTTTCGGAGCGATCATCGTGGCATACGTGTACAGAAAAGGTTTACCGGAAGAACAAAAACGAAAGAACCCCCCCCCCCCCCCCCTTTTTTTTTTTTAGTGCCGAAATGTTATCGAAATACAAGTACATCGATTTATCTCATTGCTTCTTCGGCGGTTGTCAAAGAGCCAAGTGGACTGATCCAGCTATCCACCTCATCAACGATAATCCACTCGTATGTAAAATAGGAATGAAGGTGCGCCAATATATGTATATAATCTGTCTCGAAATATGACCTTGAAACCAGAGTCAAATCAGCAAAATCGCGTGAAACCATCCGGTGACAGTATAACCCAATTTCTCGTCAAGCATTTCCATCTAATGCAGAAATTTGCGTACATATTAAGGCTCTGGTACATTCGGAAAAAAATCCCCAAAGCGCTCCTTTAAGTCAGGACCAGTGGTCCTGGGACAAGCACCCTGTCAGTCTGACTTAATTTTCTTTCATTGAAAGGCTATTTCCCAACGCACTTCTTCACTAGTTTTATGCTGCTTTTGAACAGTCACATGCTAAGTCAAAATGACACAAATTAACCGCAAGGAATTGTGGCAATAGTTTATGCCCGCGACACATGAACGAGTGCAGTACTAGATAAAAACTCTTGACCAAAAATAATTAATATATTGCTTTGGTCTGATGACCGACTTTTCGGTAAGGAAAAACAAGTTCATTGGTTCAGCTAACTAGCTGGACTAATTATGTTGACACCGTGCAAAAGTATCTCATTAAAAAAAAGAAAGCACAAAATATTTAGGCCTGAATGCCGTGGCAAGCCTGTGGCGTGCCATTGCGTTCAGTACAGGCACGTCAATATGGAACTGTATCGCGCTACATGCAGCACATGCATCTCCTTCAGAACCTACCTGGATCGGCATCTTGGATGCCGCCGCTGGCTGTCGGTTACGAGAACAACCCTCGAAAAGTTTTGGGGGCCTTTATGTAGACTGCGACCTGGGCTTGGCCCAGACTCCAAAAATTTTCGGAGCGAATCGTGGCGGAGATCGAAGTCACCTTCGCCGATTGACCTGCGCTCGACCTCGAAAGATGCTCGCGTCGTCGGCGCCTCATTCCGCGCATATCTTGTGCACGCCCTTCGCGGAGCCCTCCAGTGGGCCCGGCGAAAGTATGGAAGCGCGAAATCTGTCACGCTCATGCTGGTTACGGGGAGAGGAACAAATCCGAGTCAAAAGGAAACATGAAAAACGTCTTGGGGACGCAGCAAACCGTGTCGATGTCATTGACATGCACCCATGGCGAAAATATATGCTGGTGCGGGCACCTCCTCAAACGTTCTGGTTCCTTGGAAGCGCTTACGTCGTCTCCGATTGTATTATGGCGGTGTTTCACGGGTGCCTGGTTTACTGATCGAGAAAGAAAATGTCAACGATATGCGGCCGTTCTTGCCTGTAAGTCGAAGTGAGTGAGTGAGGGGTGGGTGTGCCATGGACGCGTTACCAGGAGATAGGAAGAGGAATTGCCCGCTCCGAAACCTCTATTCTACGACTTTGTGCCACAAAACTTATTACCACTGCGAGTCAAAAACAATAGTGATGATCATAATAGGAAACATGTGACTCGCTCCGTTATGGTATGGCTTGTAGAGCAAGGCTGAAAGAGGAGGGGATAAACAGACAGAAGTTTTGGCATGTCGAAAAAAATAAAAAAATAAATGCAGATCGTGATAAGTAAACATGTATACGACACAGCCATTAACCTACAAGAGATACGCCACAAGTCAACAGTGCACAAGTTTTATGACATGTTATCATAAAAATTTGGAGCTTGAGTCCTTGTTTTGTTATATGCATTTAGTTGGGGAAGGATTGCCTTGAACAGGCTGCCAAAGGTTTCGAACCTTTTGAACTGTCCCCGACAGCCTAAAACTTTCTAGCGGAAGAAAAAACGAAAGAAAATGAAGACGCACTTTGTAACGGTGTCCAGTTCAGAATTCACCGAAATCCAGTTCTCCGCCGAGATGGTGGTCCTTGAAGATGGTTACGACTTTTCCGTATCCACTGTAGTCGGCGTACTCGTGACTGAAGCCGTGGTGACTGTAGTCTCCAAGACCCCCGAAGCTGTAGTCAAATCCGTACTTGGGTGGGAGGTACTCCTCCACTAGAACCACCTTCTTTGGAGCGAACTTGTTGAATCCGTAGAAGGGCTTGTAGTGCTTGTGGCCGTAGACCTTGATGCGCTCGTGGATGTGGTAGCCCGCCCAGGCGTCTTGCAGGACCACCAAACAAACCACCAGGAAAGCTGCCTGCATATGTTGAGATATTTAAGCTCAAATTTTGTGCGGGGAGGCTGCAATTAGAAAATCTATCATCGCACGATAACAAAGGAGAAGTCATTGTCGATACGGCTTATCTACTGTATTTATCATGGAATGTCTGCTGTCGCCGGAAGCATTGGGCAGTCGGGAATCCCATGGTGCAAAGAGAAGCTTCGATAATTTTCTGAAGGCTAAACATGAAAAAAAGTGTGTCGACCATTAAATATCCCTTCATCGTATACGCAATATGCCAATAACGCAGTTGCCAGTGAGACATTTCAGCCGTTGTCGGTTTAAATTCTTCCTAGAGCATTTCATTTGCGTGTAAGTTTATTGAAATTTGACTTTTGCCGTAATTGACTCGTAAGATAGCGACATCACTTTTTTGACTATAGGCACTCTAAAAAAAAGCCCGTGCGTCGACTTTCCCACACAACACTCGGAGAGCCAATCACCGCAACTTACGGAGGCAGGTCAGCGAATGACGATGCCAACACTTATGTTTAGACAAAAAAAAAAAAACAAAAAAAACAGTCACTTTGAGTTGTGACATTAAGCAATGCAAGCGTGACGTTTTGCATTGCTTAATGTCACAACTCAGCCTGCGTTTTTTGGTTTAAACATATGTTTCGTCATCGTCATTCGCTGAGCTGCCTTCGTAAGTTGCGGTAATTAGCTCTCCGAGTGATGTGCGGGAAAGTAGACGCACGGGCTTTTTTTATAATGTAGGCGTTCATGCGATCAACTTACACAAAAAAAGTGTCGGGGAAACTTTACTTTTGGACGCTCCCGCTTGTAGTGTAGTACTGGGGAAATTAATTAAGGTCTTTAGCCGATTATTTCAAACTCAACGTCTACGTGAGGACCATGGATACTTACTTGCAGCTGCATGATGTTTTCGTTTGTATTGTGGCGCGAAGTTCGATGGCTCTCAAGAGCTCCTCGACCTCGTTTATATACCGCAACTGCGAAATATATTTTAGTTTTGTAATATGAGAAAAGGGAAAGGAAAGTGCGCGTCTTCACAGTGATATATTTTTTTTTTTTTGCTTTGAAATTATAGAGAGGGCGGGGGAAGCACTATCGCGTGAGAACTCCGAACCACCTGTTTTCATTTCCTCATACAAAACACCAGAGGCAGTCATGCGATATTTCGTCTTTGCAGAGTCTGAAAGTAAAACAAAATACTTTCGCCTTATTCTGATGGTTCCATCCTCCCCGTATTTTCAGTTTCAGAACCAGAGGACATCTGGACGGTTCGATCGGAGCTTTAAATTGGAGCACATCACACTTTTTTTTTTTTGTGGGTTCTCTTTTTTTTATTTAGTTCTTATGATTTTTGGACGATTGCAAGCTTAGTGTCCCCAACTGGTGCCCCATGGGCACCAGCGTGCGCGTGAACGTGGCCTTGACAAGCTTGCAATCGCATGCGCTTGCCCGCACCTGCAGAGACATGGCGGCGTCCAGATACCCTGCTTGCTATCGTCTATGCTCTACGCTCGGGGACTTTTCTTGGAAATGCAATCAAAGGTGCGGGCACGCGTGCCCTCTCCCGTTATGAGCACTGATGAAAGCTGTGCGCGCGCTCTCCTCCTCTCCTCGGAAATGGCGAGAAACGTTGTCCCTTTGAGTGACACCGTAGCAACAATCGACACGGACCAACCTCAAGCACGAGTCTAGCATGCAGGCGAAGTTATCTTTGGCCATAGACTCCTTTATTTGTGCTTTGGCAGGCTAGCAGTCACTCGTGCTTAGTGCAGGAGCACTGAGAGATTACACACCGACCAGATACTTCTGCGTGCATGCTGTGCCTCCTTGGGCTGGTCGGTGCAAGCGGGACTAGGGCACTCCGTCAACGCTTGAGCGAAAAATCACAACAACCAACACCGCGACCAGCCTCAAGGGGGTGCAGCGTGCACGTAGAGGTGTTTTTGGCAGGTTTGCACCTTTTCGATACTTGTGAAGTAAGCCAAGGGTAGTGCAACGATCTGAACGTTGAAAGAATTTGCAGTTTGTATTTTTTTTTTTATATAGTTTAGGCACAAGGGAGATAAAACGCGCCGCTTTCCCCAGAAAAACTGCTATATTCCGTTGCGTAATCGCAAAGGAAAAAAAATTGGTCAGCGATCTTTACCTTCAATTCTCTATAATGCGTTTCATGCAGTATAGGGAATTCGTGTGTCAAGTGAAGTATATTTTCACGCTAAATTTAGCGGGGAAACAATGGTTGTATACGTCACGTGACGTCGATTTCCCCCGCTATATTTAGCTGGGGAAACTGGATTGGTGTCTAGGTCACAAGACGTGAATTTCCCACTAATTTAGCGTGTAACTGGATTGGTGTATTGGTCACGTGACGTAAATTTCCCGCTAAATTTAGTGGGGAAACTGAATTGATAATGAGTTATCGTAGATGGTTTTTGCCATCCCGCAACGCTCTCCGCAACCCGCCGCTACAATACCCGGAACTCTACAGTCAAGGCCATCGGCGCGCAGGAGCAGTAGCGCTTCTTCGTTGCAGGGGGCTTAGCCGGAGGGGGACCGCTGTCTACAAAAACTCTCTAAAAGTTGGCCACAAGACGTAAATTTTCCCGCAAAATCTAGCGGGGAAACTGAGTTGACGTATAGGTCACGTGCCGTCAATTTCGCCGAGGTTGTATAGGTCACGTGTCATGATGTGAAAAACATACCCGCCCAAATTTAGCGGGGAAATTGAATTGGTGTATAGGTCACGTGACGTCAATTTTTTGTCTATATCTAGCGGGAGAACTGAAGTGGTCTGTGTCCCCTGCCGTCAGGTCACGTGACATAAATTTTCCCGCTAAATTTAGCTGAGGAACTGAATTCGTGTATAGTAGGTCCTGTGACATCAATTTCCCCTCTAAATTTAGCGGGAAATGCGCGGACGGACGGACGGAATTTTGGGTTTGTGGGTGGCGTTAAAAAGCATATTTAAAACGAATTGTTTGCCGATCTGCAGCCGCGTGTGGCGATTATGAGAACTACGGTGGCGTGTCACAGGGACACGCGTAAGTCAACAAAACCTGTCTTCTTCCAGTGCTACACCCGCCGTCAGCCCCGTGGCGAACCGTCTCTTGTGTCGATCGCTCACCGTAACCTCCGGCGACGCTAATCCTTGAAAAGTCGTCAATCGCAGAGGAAGCGGCTGGTGGATATGAAGACAGAGCCCAACGGGAAACCAGGTGATCCCCCAAAAAGTTGTTGCTGTTTGACGCTCAAGTGGGACTAGTGATTTATAACCCCCCCCCCCCGCCCCCACCCCCATACACACACACACACACACACACAAAAAAAAAAAACCTCCCCGGTTTGTGGCAATTGAGTTTCGGATTCACTTGAAACCTGCAAAGAAAACTGAAACTAAACTATAGAATATGTTATCTTGTAATTCCGGAAGTTTCGCATGTAGAATAATATAAAAAAGTAATAATGGTTACAATATAAACATACATTGTGTTTATAAAATGTTTTAATACCCAGGAAATCGGGTCCGTGCGGTCCTGCCTATCGCCATCGTCAGTATCAAAGGAAGATGGCGCACGCCAGTAGCGTTTTGTAGGGCCCACGCCGTGGCAAATGATCGCCTGTGGGTTTGTGGTAAAACTCCGGGAAACGAAGACACCATGGCAGCAGCTGGATCGACAGCGATTTTAATGGGAAAATGTATATCATCGGCAATGAAAAAAAGCGTGCGTGTTGTCGTGCCGCGCTTTGTCTTGAACACGTACCTGATGGCGGTAGGTAGTCCGGTCGCGTAGTTGAGCCGCGAGTGCTGCTGCGGCCAGGGCATAAGTGAAAACCTGTTTGCAATGTTTTCTTCAGCACTACAAGGAGAGAACCGAGTACGATGTCTTCGACGCCAATGAAGAATGCAAGCCCGGTGATTGGGTAATTATCAGGGTGGGTCACGTTTTTCGGTTCTCCATTTACCCAGGGTAAAAGCTGAGCTAGTTGGTTCTGAGACATCTTGGGTAAAACCAGCTGAACAAAGGAAGGAAAGTGACAAGGAGAAAAGATTGGCGAACCGACCGCTGGACTACCAACTGAATACAAAATTCAGAGCACGTAATATCCTTCCTTCAAGAACAGGGACACCTCATAGCCTCCGGGTTCTCTATAGATGTACAAGACATGTACTATTCTATTCCCCACACAAGCCTCCTACAAATCATTCAAACCACCATCGAAGAAAGTGGCCTTTTTAATTTCCAAAATAATGCAGGGATGAGCGTAGGTCATTTCTTAGAAATCCTACAATGTTACCTGTCAGCGACTGTAGTAGATCATCAAGAACACCAGTACGTGCAAAAGAGTGGAGTGTGCATCGGCTCACAAGTGGCTCCTCTTCTATGTGATATTTTTCTTGCCATGTGTGGACGAGCCATGCAGAAGGTACTAAAAGATACACGCATAGCGGGTATCTTTAGATATGTGGACGATTTTCTTATTCTATCCACCACAAAAATTAACGAAAAAGAAGACGGATGCCTCAACACCACCATGACACTATTCCAACAAAGCTGTTTTGGTCTAAACTTCACCTATGAGACTCCTGTGGACGATTCCATTCGGTTTTTGGATTTAGCTTTGACATTCAAAACAGGACATGTTTGTTGGAAATATCAAGCACGATCAGGGGAGGCATTTCTTCCTTTTGAATCGGAACATTCTAAGAACGTAAAACAAGCTGTGGCCATCTCAGCCCTTACAGCTAGTCTAAAGAAATCATGTCCACATCAAGTACAACAAAGTTTTGACACCCAAATGTCTCGGCTTCATAACGCGGGATACCCGAAACCCATGGTGGCCTCCATCTGTGAAAAAATATGCCGCACCATGAAGACGAACAAAGCTACGAGTCAACAAACAAAAAAACCCAGACCACCCTTTGTAGTGATACCATATATTCACGGGGTTACCCATAAGTTAAAAAAGATAGCGAACCGGCAAAACGTGCAAGTCATCTGCTCGGCACCTAACAAGGCCTATTCAATGTGCCGCAAAATTAATCAGGTACCAATCAACACCAAGGAAAAGTGTAACACCAGGCACCGAACACAATACGCTCCTTGTGAAAAGGAAGTTATATATCACATACGGCTAACATGTGGCCGCTTCTACATCGGACAGACCGGTCGATGTATTAACGACCGAGCACGTGAACATGCAGCGAACCTCAGGAACCTTGCGGAACCAGGACATTTAGCTGCCCATTGTCGGACATGCCTGTGTACAGCAGAGCTCGACAATCTTCACATAATGGGACACCATAGAAACCGGGTTGCAAGGGAGGTTTTAGAGGCCCTTGCTATCGACGAAGGAGATGACAAGTGCGTGAGCATCTCTTCACTTACCTTACAAGCCAAAGAAAAACTCTTTCTACACAACACCCTTCGTGGGTAATTGATAAAAATCGGGAGAAAAAAATAAGCAAAATAAGAGCAAAAATAAGAGCAATGAGAAAGAAAAAGAAAAAGGATGATCGGAGATGAATTAATTGAAGAAGAGGAAGATTTAATAAAAAACAGTTGGTAGTCCAGCGGTCGGTTCGCCAATCTTTTCTCCTTGTCACTTTCCTTCCTTTGTTCAGCTGGTTTTACCCAAGATCCATTTACCCCGTGTGGCGTTACCGCTGTTAGGAGATTTACGGTTATATAACTGCATCCCACCATACATTACAGGAGCTTCCGGAACGCCTGAGCCTCAAGATTGCACACAAGGTTGAAAAAATTGTCTTCAAGGACGGCAATATCATTGATCCCTTGACAGGTCAAAAGTGCATGTTCACCGATTATGTGAAAGATGTGGACCGAGAGAGTGAGGTGTTTGGGCTGGCACCACCTTACAAGTCCCTCCCCGAGCCAAAAGAACAAGCAAAACTTTCGGACAAGTGAGACAGTGCGCAGAAGAGCCTGCGATAAATAGTCGACAAACTATAGCAAGTGTAGAAAAAAAATAAAGGTGGTCTGTAATGAATTGATTTTGGATAGTGGTCCACTTTGCAAATTACAGGCATCTGCCATAGAAGGTTTCCACAAACAAATCTCGGAATTCTATTAAACAGTTTAGTTGCTAAAGAGGAGTCTAGCTTGCCCGTCAGACAAACATGAGGAAGCTGTAAGCGTAAGGTTTCTGCTTTCAAGCTGTCTGATCATGTTGAAGGCCATTGTTGACTCTACTTCCTTGTAGTAAAATACTGAAAAAAAAAAAGTAACTTTTTTTTTTTAGGTGTCAACTTTCTGGCTTTGCATGTGTATATGGTGAGCAAGTTGACTCGTTCCTTCACACGAGGAGGTATGAAAAGGTGAGGGAGTGGCCTCATGTGACGAAGCCCTATCTCAGCAGCTGCAACCACTATTTTCTTCAGTGGGTAGCAAACATCTTGGCCGTGAGCTCTTCGTTTGCTGTGGCGTATCTGGTAGTTGACACAAAAAATATACCCTTCTATATCATCTCCCTTTTCTCGAAAGGACTGGTGAATTACTGAAAGCGGCAGAAAACAGAAGGCTGGTCCATTGCTATGCTTAGTAGATGATGCCAAAGCTCACCACTGCATTCTGTGCAAGGACCAGGCGAACCTGCTCGCTATGGTTGGAGGATACAGTGGGTAGCCACAAAGGCAGAAGGGAAGCGTCTACCCAATATGTCCTCCGATTGGAGCTCAGTGCCGCAACGTCCCTGCGCAACGAGCAGACGAGCTTGTTCACCATATAGGCCGTTTTCGCTGATATAATTACGAGCTGTCTGGCTGATATAATTATGAGCATTCCGAAGGTTCAAATGATAGCCTCAGGTATGTAGTGCTGCGAGTTTCATCGCGCTGATGTCCGACTGACGTGTGAAAATGCCCTATATAGAGTGACAAGCAAGCTGTGGTGGTGACATCATGACATCCTGGAGTGCTAGTAAATGTGAAAGCAAACGGGCAAGAAAAGAATACTGAAGGAGATTAGCAGAAACCACATCCTATTTTCTGCTCGCTCCTGATGGGTGGCCAATGCTTTAACTAATGGTTGTGCTCTGTGGATTGAAACCCTTTGTTCTGGGGGGTTAGAAACAAAAACAGCAATTACTGTAAAACCCTTATGTTGGAGAGCCCTTAACTTTCGCAAATTTCCCGAATTAAAAAATTCGCAAAATTTGAGGGCACGCAAAAATTTCGGGTCTCTATGCAGGCGCCTGGAATTTGCGAAAAATAGGGGCTGTGAAAAGAAAGGATTTTACAGTATCATTAGGTGCACTTGGCTCTAATGGAAGATCTCTGCATTGCATCACTCCAAGAGTAACGCTTATACTTTTACGCTTTGCAGTGAGAACAATGGGCTCCTTCTCGCTAGATCTTGCAGGCGCATTACATCTGCAAGCTTCTCATGACATGATGTGAAAAGTTTGAGGAGTACTCTGCCAATGTTTCTTTACTGTTGGGACATTGGCCTTGAAGTACCTTTACGAGTACATTACCTCAATCCTTGCATGAATAAAAATACCAAAATTTTTGCTGCATTATCAGGAGCTAGTATTGCCTGCAGCAAATAAATTTTTTTGGTATGCATTCAATGTGGTGAGGATACTTACCAGTATGTCAAACCAAGTCATGCTGTTGCCAGCTTGGGTCTAAATAATGCAATGATTCAATAGGGCAAAACCATCATAGATGCAGAAACCATTTACTCGAATGCCATTTTGAATGCAATGCACTATCTCCTTGAAAAAATTATGAAATTTCGTCAAAATACTAGATTAGATGCATCATGGTAATAAAACCCGAGACTCAGGAACACAGAAGGGGACGAACACAACACGTTGTGTTAGTCCCCTTCTGTGTTACCGAGTCTCGGGTTTTATTACCACGAATCATCACCAGCTCGCTTGTTTTTTAAGTATTATTGCAATTAGATTCATCTTTGTTTCTTTAAAAGCAAGTCCTGATTGTATCTGATAAATCTTACAGAAAAAGGCATGCCTGATGCAAGTTTCACCGTGGGGCAGTTTAAGGCACTCCCGTTGAGACTGGACGTAGAAATACATTATGCACTTTGATTGCGTTTGTGTGACAGGTCCACATTCAGTGCCGCAGCCTCATGAGCTGCGAACTTGGAACCCTTTCTATTACAATCAGTCGGACAAACTCGATGTGGAATGTCTTTGTGCATCAGAAATGGGTATTAAGACGTCCAAGCCACAAGCCAAGAACAGACACGGGCAGCTGGATTAAAACAAATGTAATTTAGTCACACAACAAAACAGATTACAGCGCCACACACCCATCGACAATATCACACAGTAGTTAATAGGAGCAATGGAATTAAGGTGCAACCAACTGAAAAAGACGGACTGGTTTAAATTAGTCTGAGCATCGGGAGAACACAATTAACTGTCGTCAGGTTCCAAGTTGATGTTGTTTCCAAATTTGTTGTACAGCTGCGACTTGAGCTCGGCCATGATGCCCTTGATGGTGCGTGTCTCTTCTTCTAGCACGGCAGCACGTGCCTTGTTCTGCTCCTTGGCACGTCCAATCATTTGTTGCGTCTCTTCCGGGTCCAAACTCACGAAGACGTCTCCCAGCTGGTACGTGGGCTTGGCTAAGGAATACCATGCTTGAAAAATGGGTTCACATTGCGCCACATTTTTATCTTAAGAATTAGGTTGCACAGAAGTTGCACCAGAGAAGGTTTGAAAGATCTATTTGATTCACTTAAAGCATTCTTTATTTTAGTTACACCAAAATGTTGCCAGAACCACTTGTTGTAAACTCTGAGCAAAATTCCAACTGCCTGGGCCTAACTGGCACCAGCAAATGTGCAAGCTAAACTGCACAATTGCCTATTTTGTCATTGTAGACCCGCCAAGTACTGGGACACAATTAGGGAGACACTGCCCTGCGAATGTGTGTGTGTGTGTGCATGTGTGTTGGGGGGGGGGTCTCTGCTATGCACGTCGAGGCAATACGCCATGTAGTCTCTAACTGGTCCATCATCTGAGCCGGTAGTTCGTAGCTTAGGCTGTAGTCCCCTGTAGGGTAAGAAAAAAGACAGCATCTATTCAAATATCAGTGATGACCATGGCAACTAGATTGGGCTAGCCCAATCCAACCCAATTCGCATTCTAGAGTGTCCACTTGATTGGACAAATCAAGCCGACTGAGCTTACCACTTTGCTGACGTTGGCCATGTAGAAGCCAGGGAAAAGAAAAATGTATCTGCAACGTATATGCATGGGAGCCTTAACCCTTTCCCAACCATGGAAGACCTGGGTTCGTCCACGCTGTTTGTACCGCTCCCCCCGAAGACAAGCTGGGCTCGTCCACCTTTATTCGGGCTCTAATACGCTACCATGGACGAACTGGGCTAGTCCACATGTTTCTAGTGAGCTTTGCCGTGGATAGATGGCGCTTCACGGAAAATAAAAACCGGGTAAATTTCTGAATTTGGCAGAAAATTGTTCCAACACAGGCAACAAGGAATTTAAAAATGGCGGCGTCAACTTCTGGTCGCTGCGTTCATGGTGACGATCTTGCCTCAAAATTGGAGCGAAAACGAAGATATTGTGACGTCTCTTCAGATTCAGAAGACGAGGAAATGAATCTTTCATTGAACAGCGAGAGCGATGCAAGCGAGTTATTGGATTTTAGCTCAGACGACTCAGATTTCAAGAAGGATATCGTGTCGGCGTTGGACTAGAATCAATGTAGAAAATCCCCCTCCAGCCCCTCCATGTTTTGTGTTCAGTTCACGTGCAAGGTGATGTGAACTGTCTGCAGTACTGCTACGCCCGGCCTGAACGTCCATGTGCAAAGCGATGTGAACTGTCTGCGGTGATGCAGTGAAGCAGAACTTTAGTCCCTTCTTCTTTTGCAGTGTGTTCAAAGATTTCTCGTATAATAAACATTTTGGCGTTTGTTTTTGGCCTTTGTATTGCATATTAAATTTATAGGGCACATAAAAGGATTCAGTATTTTCAAATAGTTTTTTTTTTTCAAAATTTTTGCGGTAGGCAAAGGGTTAAAGGGAAACTAAAGCACTTATCAAGACAACAGAGTTTGAATCGGACCTCTGTAGCTTTTGTCCCATAAATTGTATTGCATCACTTAAATTGGGCTGAAGTAAACATGAACCACTTTTATCTTGGAAAAACATGCAGAGATTGCCTGAGGACAGAGGTCTCAAACGCATTCGAGTGTGGGGGCCAGACAGCCCAGCCCTGAAAGGAAGAGGGCGAATGAAGGGGGGAGGAGGGGGGGGGGGGGGAAACAAACAAACAGCATTGGTGTTTCACTATTTTGGGACAAAAAAAGAAAAAGAAAGAAACGAACAGCATTGGTGTTTCAAGAGGACTGTCCCAGCGACACCCTAGAGGCTGTTTAGACAAAAAACCTTACGCTTTCTAAGCTCATCGTTTTGCCCTCTTTAGCTTTTATTTGCACATACGACTACTTTGGGCCCATGCCTGATGTTATAGAACGATTTCAAACACCACCACACCATCCTTGCCCTGTCGCACAATTCACTAGGCTCAACAGGCATAGAAAAATGATCTCTTCATGCGGCAGTTTTTGCTTTTCTGACAAATTTTATAGCAGCAGTATAAGAAAATAATTCAATTTTAAAGGCATTGTCAGACAGCTAGAAGCCCGAGCTCATAGCTTTATCTTTGGCCGTTGCTCCTGCTGTGCAAGAGTTCACGCAGCCGAGGTCCCTCCCGGAGCAAAGAGCTCGCACTTGTATACCCTAGTAGTGGTATTGCCATTCCGGTTGATTTATATGAGAAAGGGCTGAGAAGCCAATATGTAGATGAAGCAATACTTTGTCCAAAAAATACAGAACAATGCAAAATGCATGAACAGAGCAGAGATCCTTTGCAAGCGGAAATGAATGGACAAATAGAACTTGTTTATGGTGCTTGTGGCGCTCGCAGCCGCGGGATGCTTGTGGGCTGCATCCTAGAGTCGCGGGCAGCACGCGGCCCGCTTGTTTGAGAACCCTGCCTTAGGGCATGCGGAGAGCCTCTCTACCACCTGTTATCTGTCAAAGGTGTCGCGACATCATCGGGGGGATATCCGAGCCAGCTTGGTGGCGAGCAAGGGTCATCTGAGTCTGTAGATGACATCACTCTAGCTAGTTTTCCCCTCTGCTTTCATGCTCTCCTGCGCTCGGTACGCAGCAGCGGTCAGGTATATGGCGAAAGTTTAAATAGCAATTACATCACAGCTACTAATAAAATCGAAAGAAAACTTTAGGTACATATAATGTTTAAGGTGCCTTTTGACAGTTTTTCTGAAATCAAATACCTCTTCAGCTTCCCTTGAAACAGCCAATGAAATGTGACATGTCAGACGGTGATAGGCAAGTTGGTTTTTGCTATATTTTCGCCCTACCTTCTTGAGTTGCAACGGACTATAGTGATGGGCTAAACTTTTGCCGAATCTTCAGATTCGGCAAAGCCAGATTTTTGCCAAACCTTTTTAAAAGATTCAGCAAAAATACATTGCTGCCAGACCTAAAGGCTGATATATCGTTCTTTTGTGCGAAAATTTTTTTTTATGCATATTGACACAGTTATTACTAAATAAGGTGATATTCTACAAGATAATTGTATCAGTGTCATTTTTGTGTGTTTACTGGTAATTTAAAAGTGCCTTTTTGCAGAAGTGGTGTGACAACAGGGTTGGCTAGTAGCAGGCGCAGTCACGCCACGCGAGTTTTGGTTTTGAGGCCTCATCAGTGCAAGCCTGCAAGTGTGTATTGTTGAAATAGAGGCGGTAATACTCTGTTCTTACTTTCTCTGCAAGTCACAGTTTCGTGTGTGAAAATGAATGCAATGGCTGCTGAGCCTTCAACAGAAGAGATAACAATATTATTGTAAATATGCATGTTTTTCGATTTGAGTCACTTGACACGAGCTTTGCATGAAAGTGTGTCCCATATTCGCAAGGTCTCATTTATAACTTTTTAAATGCCGGTTTCTGATGTTTCGATGCACCAGACATTTAGGAAGATGGGAAGAGTAAGGAATGTCGAATGTGCAACGTCGAGCAAAATGGTTTTGTTCAGTTTTAAGCGGATAGATGAAAATCACGAAGTAATGCTAACTGAAAAGCAATATTATTTTCTTTTGGCACAAACTACTTGTGAGCCGAAAGCGGGATTGCTATAATTGCGAGCGCTTTCAAGTACTCGTGAGTCAGTGTTGCAACTAGCTCATTGCATCACTGGAAAGCTCAAATGAAAATGACGTTATCCAGAATGTACTGCATCATTTGTCACTTGCGCAGTGGACTGCATCAACTCCTGGTCGATCCTATGTTCTTGAGGCAGAAAATATTGAAGGAAACCACACCCACAAAGGCTGACAAACGTGCAGTTACCATGTCGCCTATTCCGCACCTTGCCATAACTGCTGGTGCTATTACAGTGTTTGATGGTAACCGCACAATTGCATGGCTTCATTTGCAAACTTTCGCTCAAAAGTTTGGCATGTGCCAAACTTTGCCGAATCCGAAGTTTGGCAGATTCGATCAATCACTAGTTTTTGCTATGACTTGCTTTATCAAGTAGCCCATAGTTTAGTACTTGAAAACAAGAATGCCCAACAATTTACTTGCTTCAAAGTAGGCCCCACCAGGTTTTCCCACTTCGGTTCGATTCAACTGCACAAAGCAACCACACTAGCAGCCGATTTCGGTGCAGTGACAAGGTGCTGCAACAAAGCTTAGAGTTTTAGTACTCGAGGAACATTCAGTCAGTGGCCCTAGGCTTGTGTACCGAGTTTTTATTTTTAGCTGGCTCGACCAACACTAGGTTTCACACTAAAAAATTGCAAATCCATGTTTTCCAGGAGATCTTCCAGTCAATTGTACGACAGCACAAAATAGTCATAATGGGTAATCTGGCAGACTTGGCATGTGTGCTATGTATTGGACAACATGCTTCTCATATCTCTGTTGAGGAAAGATTTCCCATACAAGTGCTTTATAAAACGGGCCATTCACAGGTAGAGCTCACTAAAAATGTCTGCATAAGAGAATTTTTTTTTGTTTTTATGCATAAATGATTTCACACACCTATGCTTAACATTTAGCACAATTTGCAAACTGCCGTTTTTTTACATATCCTATGGCTGTGCTGCCTCAGACGATGGATCAGCGCAGTTCTCACGGTTCCCAGGCTCCCTTGTGTGTGCTGATTTGCAAAATGGTTCATGGGGTGCAAGTGGGCCACATAGTCACCACTGCGCAATGATTCATTCTAGCAGGCAGTATTTTTAATCTTTGTTTATCACATGAAGTGTACAATACGAGTTCTCCTTTTAGAGCCAGGATTTCCGAATACTGGGAGTTTTTCTCAGAGTGCTCAAGATTTATCTTGAAACTTGGAACCCTAGCTCCTGCCAATTACTGCTCGGCTCAGGTGACATTACTGATATTTCATGACTGCCAGTAGCATCACCGCTTTTATGCACATTGAAGGTAGCTTGGTCGAGAAACCACTGTTCCATTGTATAAGCATCAGAACACTATGAAATTCAGGAGGAACACTGACCGCAACGTCGCACACTAAATAAAGCGATACCCTTGGACGAAAAAGGATATGGTACTGGTGATTCATCTCCACCCATCAAGACTTCATCCGCAGCATCTTCCAGGTTACGAAGCTCTTTCTGTGGAAGGTAAAACTTTTTTTTAGTTCAAGCTCCTCACTTCACAACTCAAGTCCTGCATATCGCTAAGAACAAAGCTCAAAGTTGTTGCGATAATGCGCTTTGTATCTTTCACTATTTACAGCCAGAGCACCACTCAACGAAGCACAGTGGCTGGAGGGCGGAGGCCATTATCTACTCGGTAAATCTGGAAGAGCATACCTCAAGATGTTTCATTTCCTCGGTGGCATCTTCCAGCCTGGCGTTCTGCCTTGCAAACTTGTTGATCATTTCCTGGTCCTCGGCAGTAACTTGGACATCATTTTCCTGCGAGGAAAGCGTGTTCTAAGCATGAGCTGCCGAGCAGGCACATGAATTAAAAAGGAATATTAGATAAAAACATCACTCAGATAACCTCAGCTCACTCACTCCTGTAAGAAAGGGATTCAGTGTGCAAATGGTATTTCTGCAGAACAGTTTCGAGGCTCATTCATAAAGTGAAAAGAATGACAACAGAAACAAAAAAAAATATAAATGAAACCAGGGGCTGTAAAATCGTCAAACGCAAAGTTGGAGCCGAACGTTTGCAGAGCGCACCAATTAGATGTCGGCAAAAAAAGCGCGAAGCCATCTTCGTGATAGGCCGATCGATGCGCCCCGTCAACTTCGGCCCCAACTTTGTGCTCGACGAGTTTATAGGCCCAACCATTATTAACTTTGGGTATTTTAAGAAATTTTTGACAAGTCTGTTTCTAATGTTGATTATGTTTTTTTGGAATTTTACACTGAAACAAGGAACCATTCTTCTAGCAGTCTTTCCATGGAGCAGTTTGTACACTTTTCTAGATTGATAAAAACAATAAAAATTAAAAGCAACGTGGTTAGTTGCTTGAAAAACCATCTCCATTACAATGGATAGATGGATGCTAGCAGCTGCATCTTTTACAACGGGTGGTAGCTTGCGGCAGCTGGCCTAGAAACTACTAAAACCAAAAGTAAGATTCCTCCCCTTGCTAAGCCGATTTTCTTCCCATCTGCAATTTTGTAACTATCATCAGGCGGTGTGGGGCATCACCAGGATAACCTTTGGGGATAGAGCAAAAAAAAAAAAACTAAAAACATCACCTCCCGCCTTTTTTCCCCGGTGAGGGAGTCGCCAATTTTCCTCTGGTCAAACCTAGTCGGCGTTACCCCAACACCGTGCTCACTGGGAGACAGGGCTGAGACTTTGGCCCAGAGCCACGCGAGAGGGTGTCCCAATTTTCCTCTGTCCCACCTGTTCCCAGCTGTGGTAGTTAGTTGTACGGCATTCAATTCTCCCTAGATAATTTCCACCAGTCTTCCAATCTCCTTTTCGTTATTAAAGTGCACTTATCATCCATTCTTCCATTCCCGTCTACCCCAGTGCTCTGGCAAAATCCGTCGCCACCTCCGGGAGGGCGGGAGCAAGCCCTGTGCACCTCAACACCACATGTCCTATTGCCTCGTCTTCCCCTTGGCATACGGCACACCACCGCCTACATTTTTTCATAGTTTGTCCTACATGTCCTAGTCCTCAATACTCCTGTTCTGGCCTCAAATAACAAACTCCCCTGTGAATTATCATACCAATGTTCCTTCCTTATTTCCTGTTTTTGTCCCCTATACAGAGCTAAAGCTGATTTTCCCCGCATTCTTTGCTTCAATATTTTTCTCTCGGCTTCCTTAGCACTTACTGTTCGTATCTGAATTTCAGTTTTCGGGTTCGGTTTGTCCCTTCAGTGTTCAGACTTTTGATATAACTTTCTCATCAATCGTATATCCTCCATTGTGTCTATCTAGCCTTTGTTCAAGTTTCAACGTACTGATTGCCTCTTTAACCTCGAAAAATGCCTAGCCCATGTCTTCCTGGATTCCTTCATTTAGTGTATTCCCATGTGCCCCCAGTGCCAGCCTCCCCACGCTCCTCTGCCGGGTCTCTAAACATGACTGGACCTCAGATTTCATACATAATACCGCATTGCCAAAAGACAATCCCGACACCATGCCTCTTTTCCATATTCCCCTAACAACTTCCTATATATTATAATTCCATAGTCCCCTATGCTTCATAATTGCTGCATTCCTTGTCTGCCATACCCCTAGATATTTATACTTACATGTGTGTTCTATTAAATTACAGTGCATAGGCTTTCAGTGTTGACATCATTTTGTTTTCACATACCTACTAACACAGTACCACTTGATAAAGATTTCCTGAACTAGCACAAGCACTTCCCCAATACAGACTATGAAAAAGCGCCAAAATGACTCCTCCTGGCTGCATCCCAAAGTCTGTTGAATACCATGATTTTTGTATCAATCTGGAAATTCAAAAGCAAGTAATATAAATGCATCATAGGTAATACGAACAAGTCCTATGTCACTTTCACCAGGTCGTTGATCAACAGGCAGATGAGCAAAAGGAGATCCGGCAGCCTCACGTGTGAAATAAAAATATAGATGTGCCACAGTACTGCAGCGCAGTACACTATATATTGCATCCTTTCTTCGCAGCTAATCACTTTGCCAGAGTCCTTTTTTTCACTGACAACGCTTGGATTTGGGCTTCGCAGCGTAGCATACCTCATGATCTTATTTTTTTACGTTTTGTCTCATCTCTCAGCTAGCCTTCATAGAAAACTTAGCCTGTCAGATAACCCTATATTTGCCTCAGAGCTGTGGCTTTTCCTTCAAGAAGACACTTGTCAAATCGCACCACTCACGTGCGTACGCCTTCTCCGATCAATTTGATGCACTGCCATAACCCCACACACTACACAGGTAACTTGTAGACGAACGCAGAAAAATCTTGAGAATCGGAGAGAAAGCTTCAATTTCTACAAGTGATTCGCGATATTGCACGAAGAGCCGCCGAAGTTGAAGCTCCAAACAAGGGAATCGAAGTGGCAAGGGCTCAAGCACGCTACAAGTAGTTCAATATGGCGTTCAGCGTACTCCTGGACGATCAAATGAATCTCCAGAGAGAATTTAACATTTCCGGGTTTCGGGCTTTATGGCGCCAAGGACTCTACCACACCGATTTAGTGATAAAACACGCGATAAAACTCACAGACTGCATGGAATTCTGCTGTACCGTAGCCGCCATTGTGAAGCACGTTGTTTAGCGGCGGCGGCGGGCGGCGGTAGGGGCCGTGGGGGCGGTAGCCGTAGTTGAGATTGAGAATGATAAATTTTTCCATTAAAAATTTCGAATAAATATAAGCTAGATTTATTATTTTTAAGAGAATTTGATGTTTTCACTAGTATAATCGAGGAAATTAAATTTCTGTTTCGACAGCGTGACAGTGTTGCCAGTTGTTATTTCGACAATTCTTGGAACAAAATAGAAACAGTTGAAGTCAGCCTTTTTTTTACCTCTCGAGAGATGGCAGCACAGTGCCTATTGGCGCTTTTCTGTTGTGCAGTTGTCTATGTGCAAGTTTCAAGAAGTTTATGAATTTTCTTTAAAAGCGTTCACGGCATTAATGTCAAAACAATTCCCGACATATTACACCAAGATTATAGCCTTTATTTTACTTGCAAATTTCCTCGCGTTTTGTCCGGTTTACGTTTAGTTTTGTTTTCTTCAAGGCGTTTGTCAAAGTTCGCCCGTCAACAAATGCTGGCGCATTGATACATAAATAGCGAAAGTTTCTCGTCACATGTATTTCACTGCAACCTGGACCTAACGGCGGAAATAAATTAAATGTATTACTTAAGGTCTTTACCGCTAACTGATATTGAGTGCTGAGAGCCAGATGAAAAGTTTGCGAGTGATACATAGGGGACTGGTTCTTCTCTCGCACGGATATTTGTTTTCGGTCGAAGTAGGAGGCCACTGCTAGCCTGTGACGTCATACCGGCGGCGTTTCGCCAGCGACAGCAGGGAAAAGAAATGGTGAAAGTTGCGCTGCAAATGTTTGGCAGGTGTTCGTGTGGAAGAGTGGCGCATATGTGTGATGCGCTGCCCGAGTGCCTGTGAAACGGTGGGCCCGATCGAGGCCCGATGCGAGCGCCTGGAGCCGCGACCGCGTAGGACACGGAGGCCACCACGCCAGCAGTGAGTGGCGCGGCTGCGGCGGCCACACTCACAACAATGTACGACGACGAACTCGCCAGTGACGCGACTCGGATAATGAAGGATCTCAGCTTGTTCGAGGTGCCCTCGCGTGACCACTTTACGCCGACGGCGACGACTCCCAAGCGCACGGACACTTCGGCGGGTGAGGAATTCGAGAAGAAACGCGAGATCTACGCCAACCTCAACTTCAGTAGCAAGTCTTACCCGGACTTCGCGCTGGCCAACGAACACGAGTACGGTCGCATTCTGTCGCGCGCCGCCAACGCCGCGTCAAGCAGTAGCAGCTACGCCGCGGCAGACGTCCTCGGGAGCCCCAAGCGGTACGTGCCTTCGTGCAAGCGACCGCTCGGAGCCATCGAGAGCCTCATCATCTCGGGTCAGGCGCCGGACACCAAAGATGTGCCCTTGTACGCCAAGATCGATCGCGCCAGCGTGATCGCCGCCTCAAAGTTCGCGACTCCCAAGACCCCTTCGCCGGCCGAGTTCACGAACGGCCAGCTGGCGGGCCTACCGCCGCCGCCCGAGTATCCGCGCTGGAGCGGCTCCAAGGCGGCGGCCAAGCTGCCCGGCCAGGACAGCGTCCACTCGAGCCCGCGCAGCAGCTTGAGTTCGTCGAGCCGCGAGTCCCAGCATTCCAACACGTCGCCGGGTGCCAGCGTCACCGGGGCGCCCATCTACGAGAACCTGCAGCAGCCCTCGGTCCGGACCCAGAGCGCGTCCCTGCTCAATGACTACCTCCTGCACCACCGGCAGAGCCCGCGCTCCTCGGTCAGCTCGCAGGACTCGAAGCACTCGAGCCCTCGCGCCAGCGTGGCCCACTGCGACCCGCCGCCGTACCCACATTCCAAACCTCCCCCCGACTACCCCATCTACGCCAACCTGCAGGAGTTGCAATCCGCCGTCAGCCCCGCGTCGGGGTACCTGCCCGGTCAGGACTCTGGCCCGCACTTGCCGCCGCCGCCGTCGGTGCTTTCGTCTCAGCATGCGGGCAACGGCCTCATCAAGCCCAGCGCCCAAAAGGCGTATGGCCCGCGGCCCCCGTACGGGGCCGGCTTCGAGCCGGCCGCCAGCCCCATGCCGCACGCCTCGCCGTCGGCGTACGGCGCGGCCCTGCGCTACTCGGCGGCCACCAACAGCCTGTCGTGCTCGTACCCAATCGACAAGCAGGCGGGGCCCCAGGTGTACCAGATGAACAGTCGGCCGTACGACGCGGCCGCGGCCCTGCCCCAGAAGCCCCAGGTTGCCTGTCCGCAGGTACCCAGCGGCGTGTGCTCCCCAGGGGCCGAGCAGCACAAGGGCCTGCCCCCGCCGCCGCCCTACCCGGGCTACAAGCCCAATGCCAAGACGCTGCTCCCGTACAACGTGACGCCGCCGAGGCCCAAGGGCCCCACGGAGGCCGAGAAGAAGATCGAGGCCCTCATGAAGCAGATCGAGGACGAGCTCGAGCACAATCCTCCAGAGGGCGAGTTCTTTGGTGAGTCCTCTGGGTGGCGGGAGATTGACGTGTGCGCGCAGGCGGCACGCGACACGCTCCTGCTAGCTTCAGACTTGGCATACCGAGTCCTTCGTCAAAATGTGCTGTCCGCGCTTTGGGTTCAAATTCGTTCTGGGGCGTCCACAACGTTTTTGGGCCCTCTGGACGATCAGGTGGTACCTAGTTGCGGACAGGGACAAAACTAGCTAGTTGCTCACCAAACTATGCAAAACAGAGGGAATCGTGTGAGTCATAGGACGAGAAACCTTGTTACGTCCCTTATATTTTTTCTTCCATTTAATTGTAGGTTTAGGGTGCAATTAAATATTGTCAGGAAGCCATGGCCGAGCAGGGTTGGGGGAACCCTCTTTTTCGGACATTCCCCTTGTCTTGCATCCACACTGACCTCGGTCAGAAAGTGCCATCTAGTTGCCACTTTCCAACCTAAATTTGCTTTGTGCATTCTCGTTGTTTCTTATTTTGTAAAATATAAACGAGCTCAGTTTATTCAATACTCAGTAACTTTTTTCCCATGCAGAATGCATCCTTACAAGAAGCACAAGGCAGAATGGTTATATATTTTTGGACAATGTGCTTTCCTAGGATAAGTATATTGAGGACGTCTAGTTTTGGCCTTTTCCATCTCCAGGTGACAAGGGAATCCCACATGCGTCGACCTCAAGCAATCTGTGCCATTCCCTTGTCATCTTCCTTTTCTTCTTATCCGCTTTCCAAACATACTGTAGAGTCTAATTTAATTGTTACCCAACTCTCTTTCTTGGCATCTGGAGCAACGAGCTTATAGGCAGAAGCCGATGCATTCACATGTTGGGGTAAAAGGTTGACCCCTTCCCTTTCTCAATTCCTGGTTGACACTCGTTACTGAACTGTGCGAGCATATTTCCCCCCACTTCCCGTAGGCTGACTTCTCTTCGGGGGATAGATTTTTTCCTTTGGAAACAATCTTTAGTAACCCCTATCACTGCATTGTCGAAGGCTTGTTTGCTTCGCATTCTTTTGTTTGCTCGCTAAATATAAGGAAGGGAAATGCTAGTCAGTAGTGACCAAGGTTTGGTCCCACATGTATATTTACAATATTCATGTAAATCGAACCGACTCCATGATACCCTAGTTACACTAGCGCTCTCAACTGTCATTAAGCTAACGATCGTTGACATCTCCCAACAGTCATTAAGCTTAACTAAGTTGTCCGGTGTTGCACGGTACATAGGCCTAACATACCCAGTTGAGATGCGCGTCAAGGGACACAGTTGAAACCGTAACAAAACAAAACTGATTCCACATTATTCTCGTATAAATAGTGATGCAAATGAATTATATACACACTTTTCATTCATTGTAAATGCCTAAAACAAAATAAAATGAACTTCTTTTTTGTCTTTTTAGAGTAAAGAAACGACAATCGGAATGTTTCAAACGAATTCAAGCAAGAGAGACACAACGAAAGTCTTATTGGCATCGACATTACGATAGCTGCCCTCGCCGAGCTTTGGCTTCCACGAGGTGCCGTGGTCGTTTTAGCGGCAGCTCTGGCCCCAAATCATACCCCTTCCGACAATATTTGCTGCTACGATACTTTCTAGATACCTCCCCAATTTTCTGCAATAGTAAATGCTTTGCTGGCGCTGGGCCATGGGCGGCGATGCGGCAGACGCTGCCATCTTTAGCTTTATTGGGGTGAACTCCCATCAGTTGTACCGCAGCAAAGGCTAGAAGCGCAAGCTCATAGCGTTGGCAGCTGCCCTTAATGCACAAGAGCTTGTGCCACAGAGATGTGCCCTAGAGCAAGAAGCTCACGCTTGTAGCCTTTCCTGAGATACATCATAAGGTGAAATAGAGTATAACTGAGGTAGGCCAGGCTCAGTTGAACTTAACGATCGTAAGCGGCTTAGTGACAGTTAGCACTTCCTTGTAACCCCAGCCAATCGCGATTAGGTCCACTGTCATTGGCTTAATGATAGTTCAGAGCGCTAGTGTAACTAGGGTATAAGAGGATGACGTTCACGAACCTGCAGAGACCATTATCCACTCTTCTCATGAGATATCTCCTGTCGCTTGTCTTCTACTTCACACTTTGTGGACAGCCAATGCCCACAGTGGGAATTTTTGTTTATTACAGCCCTAGACGATATATGAAGGGTTACTATAAATGCAGTATAGCCTTTTAAGACTGTGGCGAGTACAAGAATTTTTTGAAGATCGTCTTCATTGTTCTGGATACAGAATCCCATGAAGTTCTTAGTCATACATCTTGGTAACAAGACTAATTCAGATGACAGCAATGAGTGTTTCTATAGAGAAAATGGTTGCGAAAGTAAAATAAAACCTGCAGTATGGTTTTGGCCCATTTTCCTGGAACAGAGTAATGTTGCCCGTTACTGTTTTGGAAGTTACTTGAGCTATAATTAGTGCTCACGTTGCATACTTACGAGGATATATAGGGCATTATTTTACTAAGATAAAAAAAAGAAATTGATATGTGGGCTATGCTTTTGGGGTTTTCCAGATTTTTGGTGGTACAGATCAAAATATAGTGGTGCAGTCTGGCCTTACTCTAAGGTTTTGTTCCTTTGGAGGTAGATTGATGCAACAAGTACCTTGAATGAGTTATGATTGTTTTTAATGTTTGAGAAATTAATTAATGCCTTTAGTATTTAAAAAATAAACCACGAAGTATGAAACAAATGGTGTGAAATGATTTACTCTGATAGTCAGATTTGAATGGTTAATGAGGAACTTGTTTGGGCTTTTCTTTTTATCCATAAGGAAACTTACGTTCCATATTGTTGTAATTTCCGTATTGTTTCTCTGGCTTGAATTATCTAGGCAGCCACGGTAGCATGCACCTTGCTTCACTCTGCCGTGGGATGTATCATTTGATATATGGGAGGTGCGGAGTCTGTCTGTTTCGTGTAATGAATGTTGCAGTCTTGATGTTTTTTTTTGTTTCCTGGATGCTGTTAAAGAGCAATTGAGTTTGACCCCTAGGATACCTTTCAAATAGAATTTTGTGGCTGATAGGGCATGAAGGGTGTTTGCATAGAAAAGTTATCTCATCCTGTGGGGAGGCTATCATTTTGTTTTATTCTTTTGCATAGATGCCTCGCGTCTACATTTGAGTAGTTTTGTTTCCTTCCTCTAAATCTTTGCTGAATCCATTGTGTGGGTTGCTCTAAATCATACACTAGTTTTATTTACTGGACTACACATAGTCATGTACTAAATTAAACAGTGGTACGTGCATTTAGCCATGCACCAGGCACGTAGCCAGGGGGGGGGGGGGGGGGGGAACCTATGGGGCCCGGCCCCCTCCTCCCCCCCCCCCCGAAATCTATTTTGCTGGGGCCTCCTCTCCCCCCTCCCCCTCATACAGCATTTTGTCATGGGCTGCCCCCACCCCCCCCCTCTTCCGAAACAAAATCCTGGCTACGTGCCTGCCATGCACTTATGTTCAGAGATAGATATAATTTATATTTGTGAAAAACACACCTCTTCATATATGTGAAAACTGGTGCAGTTTGCGCGCGACTCTTAAATAAATCGTGTGCAACTGATCCCTTCGTTCGAAATACTACAAGGATAGGAGCTAGTCCAAGAGCAGCTTCTATACGGTGCATGTTGGATTTTGCTTTTGGCCTACGTCATTAGTACAGTACATACTGTACTAACAAAACTAGTGCTTGTTAAAAAATGTTGGTACTTTTCTATTCTTCCTCAATATGTTTCAATTTGAACCTAATTAAGTTTTATGGAGTAGAAGGCCTACCTAATGCCTTGTCAGAAATTTTGAGCCAGTCACTTCACTTTGCATTGTGAACCGAATGGATTAAAATTACTTCAAATAAATAGCGAAAGTTTGGTCTTGCAAGGCACAGTATTGTAATGGGGAGTATTCACTGGACGCTACATTTGAGGGCGCCGTTTAGAGCGCATGCTCAGAACGACCTCACATTAATGGGCTGGCAATATTGATGGTGTGGAACGCATGTTTAAAAGAAACTGTGGAAGCTCGACATCACCATGCGCTCAGCAGTCGCGCACACAGCTATGGCTGCCAGTCTATTTTAATCAAAGCAAAGGTGAAAAACAAAATATAAACAAACCGCCGAGACTCGAGCCTTCTAATGCTTTATTTAGTAACAACTGAGAAGTGAGCGAAGGAAATTATTTTCACTTTAGTCTTGTTTTCTGCGTTGGAACTGAGAAGTGAGTGAAGGAAATTATTTTCACTTTCTGCGTTGGCAAATAAAATGCACTGATAGCCCGAAGCGCCGCTCTTCCTTTTTACAGGAAATTGTACAGCTAGCCAGGCAACATGTTTATCTCTAGTAATGTTTTATTGAGGAAATATCTTGAAATGTCTTCAAATCTTCAAAGTTCTAGCCGCATCTTTTGGGTTAATTTCAGCGCCATATCTTATGAGACTGATGTTTGCGGAATACTTAAAAATGGGCTCGATCCACTTGACCCAGGCAGTTTAGTGTTCAGAATTAAAAGATAGATTTTTTTTTTTGTATTTTATTAGCTGCAGAACTAGAAGAGCGTACACTCTACTGTACTGTTTCCTCGTCGCTTACTCGAGATTACACGTTTGACGTTAGAAGTGTCAGCTAATGACAGTAACCAAACTACGTAGTGTACGGGCAGTTACATGAAATGCTTCACCTCCGCCTCGAATGTCGCCGTGATGCGCTTTCCGGGTCACTCGCTCTAGCCGTGGGTGACGTTTGTGAAGTATCTAACGCAAAACGAACACCACCGCCATCTACAGCCGACGAGGCACGTTGTTTTCTTTAAAATAAAATAAAAAGTAAATATGGAGGTAGCTTTTTACTGGCTTTATGCATAACGGCAGATAATTATTTTAAAGCCTGAGTAATTTCGGAATTTATAACGGGCGGTAGCTTGCGCCACCTAGGGCAGAAACCAAAAATACGATCCATCCTCGCGCCCTTCTCAGCCAATTTTCTCCCCCTCTG